TGAAAGTGAAAGCGAAGGGTGAGGAACTAAAGGGAAGCAGAAAATGATGGTGAAAATGAACGTGGATGGGAGGAAGGAGAAAGTGAAAGCAAGGGATGGAGGAAGTAAAAGGAAGGATAAAATGAAAGTGAAAATGAATGTGGATGGGAGGAAGGAGAAAGTGAAAGTGAAAGCAAAGGGTGAGGAAGTAAAGGGAAGCATAAAATAAAAGTGAAAATGAACTGGGAGGAGAGAGTGAAAATGGAAGGGGAGGAGAGCTCAATTCCGCCCCAATTTTGCCCATTCTTACCTTAAACCCGAGCAAACACAGACACTGGCCCAAGAGTCGGGGTACCCCTGAATGGTACCCCAATAACAGCAGTTGCCCTAAAAGAAAACCCCGAACAAAACAGAATCAACAGCTTAAATCTTGATTCGGCTGCGACAGATCATCCAGTTCCTCTTTTGCAAAGACACGCCTGAATACACACAAGCCAGGGTTTAATTTAGGGAATCCAGGCTTGCTCAAGGCCAGACAGAGTGAGTGGATAAGCCAAGGTTTAGCCACCAGGTCTGCTAAAGGCTACCCCTCCTATCAGAATGAGGAGCTGTAGGGTACCCAAACCCATTTTTGAGGCATCTCAGTGGGGAATTTTGTGTCAAAGCATATTTTGGCTGTTAAGACAACTAAATGGAACCTCCAGTTCTAGGAACAGTCTACCTCTGCACTGCCTTTCACTGAATGCTGATATGTAGCATATAAAACTGAGAAGATAAACCTGGTTCTTACCTCTGGCTTGTTTGGATGCACTGTTCTTGTCCCGTTTGGCAGATAATAGGTTAACTCTGAGCTGCCCATCATCAGCTCCCTGCGAAGGAAAAACAAGCCAACATTGAATGGAAATGCTGCAACAGCAAGCCTGCTAGGTTGGCTTTTGCTCAGTTGGGCTTCTCCAGATCCGTTCCTATTTTCGGCACGCTGCGAGGAAACCTCGCAGCAGAGAAAGGCTTTTTTTTTTTTAAATACCGCTTTTATCTCCTCAAACTCTTCAAACTCCTAGCTCTTCTCCTCAGTCTCTTCAAACTCCTAGCTCTTCTTCCAGGGCTTTTAAGAGAGACCGCTCCTGCCTATGGAAGCTCTACTGAACGCTCAGGGCTGGAGTGTCTCCGTTGCATCGGTGCCTTAGGCTTCCTGTGGCTTTCTCTTTTCTTTATGCAAAAGTTCTGTTTCGTTTTTTTAAATCAAACCTGAAATTTATATTTGCATCTAGAACACCCAGAATCAGGGGTCCCCTTGAGGTCATCAAGTCCAACCCCCAGCTCAGGGCAGACCTCCCCATTCAAGCACCTCCAATAACTTTGATTTTAAGTTTTGTTTTGTTTTTTTTTGCTTTAGGAGCGACAGGCTGACCTTCTTTTGGGCGAGTAGGATTTGGGGGACCCTTCTGACTGGGGAGACCCCCACCCCAGATTCTGGGACACCCCCTCCACCAACTCACCGATTCTGTGCCAAATCCAGACGCAGGCGCTCCCCTTCAACCTCGAAAACAAGCCGCAGCTGAGCAGGGAAACGGTGGGAACCTTAAAAAGAAGAGAATTGGGGGGAGGGAAAATAAAGATTGGGAGAGACCCCAATTTTGGAGCAGGGAGCTTGGGGGGGTCCACGCAGGCCCACCATCCCTGAAGGAAGCTGCCTTCAGGACGTTGGGGTGGGGTCTCCGCCAGCATCTGCAGAAGGTGTCTGCCACATTCCCTTCCCCGCCCCACCCAGGGTTTTCCTGCCCTGCAGAAATGGACGGAAATGCTTCGGAGACACCCAGCATCCGTGCCACGGGTGGGGGCACACCACGGGGGGGGGTGAGGCAGAGGAGATGAGCTCATCCAACCGGCTAAACCGGCAGCTGCCAAAACAGGCGTGTGATTTATGCCTTGTCTCTTTCACAAATTGGGGAAGAGGGGGGGCGCCTTACCAACGCGATCCTTGGGGTGACCGGCCATTAGCAAAGGGCATCGCTCATGTTGCGAGTCGGGGGCATCTGCAAAGGTTAAAAAGTGTTGGGGGTGTTTTGGGGGGGAGGTGGGGTGGTGGTCTTCTCCTGTCCCCCCCCCCCCAGAATTTGGATGCCTCCTCCATGGGGAGTCAGGTATGAATCTGTGCCCCCCTCTCCCCCCCCCAGAAGTACATTTTCGCAGACCCTTTGTGCAATGATTTGATTTTGGCGAGATCTAGGTCAGGCTGAGCCATTTTAAGAGGGGTGGACTTCAACTCCCAGAATTCCCCTTTTTCCACCCTCAACGACCGTGGCAGCGTCCTCTGTGGTCTCGTGATCAAAATTCAGCCGCTTGGCGATTGCCTCGTATTTATGACGGTCGCGGCGTCCCGGGATCACATGATTTCCCTTTTTTAGGTCCATCAACCAAAATCAATGGGGAGGCCGGATTCACACTTAACAATTGTGTGATTACTAAGTTAACAAACGCAACGGTTTGCTTAACGACCGCGGCGAGAAAGGTCGTAACGCGGGGCAAAACTCACTTCCGCAAATGCCTCACTCAACAACATAAATTTTGGGCTCCCTTGTGGTCATAAGTCAAGGACCCCCCTGTACAGTTTTGAGTTTTTGAGGACGAAAAAAAATCACAGATCTCCAATCCCAGGTCCATTTTTTTTTTCTCTGTTAAAAACTGCCACACATCGGCTATTGGTTGATAGGAAAGGCAAAAGACGCTCATGGGAGTTCAGCCAAGGACTTTGGAAGTGCTTGAGGACCTTGCGAGGTCATTTAGTCTGACCCCCTGCTTCTGCTGGGTGAGGAAAATCGGAGCCTCATCCCCTTTGGGAAGCTGCCTCCGCCGTTGACCTTTTTCTCTACTCCACCCCCCAAAACCTCTTTATTTCTGTAATTTTGACCCATTTCTAAGCCCAAGTCGCCCCCTTTTCTTCTCTCACCCGCCAGCAAACCCCAATCAATCCAAGATCCCTCTTTGAGCAGGGGGGGGGTCAGACTAGAAGACCTCCCAGGTCCCTTCCCACTCTGTCATTCTGTTATATCTGTTCTAAAACTTCCTCAAACGTCTCACAGGGATGGGCACCCCTCCGCTACTCCTCGGACAGGCCCGGCGCTCTCTGCACACGCTCAGAGACCCGGGAACCTCGTCTGTCCTTCTGCCTTCAGGGCTGAGCTGCGCGCCGGAGAAACCCGGGCAGAAAACAGCACCGGGCTTGGCCCACCATCCCGACACCCCCCCGACCCGCCCTTTCGCCTCCGAGCGAGCTATCAGGGGAGGGGGAACGCTTTTCCCACGACCCCGACGCCCCCCACCCCACCCCGGGCATGCCCTCCATAGCCCATCAGCCGCAGCCAAGCTGACCGCAGGATGGCGCAAGCTGCTCCGATCCTCTTTCCCATCCAAGCGGCAGCCTGGCTAGTTCCCCCTCCCGGGGGGGTCTCCCCTCGGCCCGGGGTCTCACCTGCTGCGCGCCCCGGGCCGGCCACGCATCTCCACGAAGGCGGCAGCAGCAGCAGCAGCAGCGCGACTTCCCTCCAGAGCGCCATGGCCGGGCAGCGCCACTCCACGCGCGTTGCGCACCGCGCAGGGTCTCCCCGGGGGTCGCCGGCCTGGCCAGGAGAGGCGGGAAGGGGGCGCTGCGTGCCGGGCTGCGTGCTGGGTCGCTCTCCGGAGCAGGAGGCGGCTCTTGAGCGCTGACAGCCGCCTCTTCCTCCTCCTCCTCCTCCTCCGGCTCCTCCTGCGCGCCGCCTCGCATTGCAACGCCGCCGCCGCCGCCGCCGCGGCACAAGCGGCTGCTGGGCCCGCCCGAGAAGGGGAACTTCCTGCCGGCCGCCCTTCCCGGGCCTCCGCCCGCCGCTTGCTCCGCTAGCCCGGCCCCTGCCCCGCGCTCGCCCACCCGCCCGCCTTGCCAAGTCCCCGCGGGGCGCGCCCGGCCCGGGGCAGAAGCGGAGGGGAGAGCCCCTCGCCTTCCGCGGCTCTGCGCGCGTCACAGCAGCTGGAAGAGGGGCAGGGAGGGGGGAGGGAGGGGGTTTCCCTGCCCCGCTGGCGCGGGTGGGAGGGGGCTGCGACCGGGGGAGGGGAGGGTCCAGGCGGAGAAGAGGGGAGGGGAGGGAGCGGTTGGCGCTGGTCCTGCGCTGCGTCCTTGGAGCGCCTGGTTGGTTGGGGAGGGGACCCCCGTTGGAAGGCTGAATGGGAGAGGATGGGGGGGGGGTCCTGGCCAAGGCGGTGAGATTGTCAAGGTCGGGGGGTTCCATGGGTCTTTCAAAAGCAGAGTCAGATATAGCTCCTCCTGCTTGAGCAGGGGGCTGGACTAGAAGACCTCCAAGGTCCTTCCAGATTCTATTCTATTCTATTCTATTCTATTTATTTATTTTTATTTATTTATATTTGAATTTATATCCCGCCCTTCTCCCGTAGGACTCAGGGCGGCTGACAATCTATTTAAAATACATACAAAACAATACAAATTTAAAATTAATTAAAAAGAATATTAAATATTTGTCGAATTTAAAATATAATTAAACCCCCCCTAAAAATTACCCTAGGCCAGTCCTGCAAGCTGGAATAAC